CCCCCCCCCGCCTGCCGTGGGGCTGGAGCGCCCCCCAAGTCAGGGGCTGCTCCAGCCCACCCAGAGACACCCCTCCAGAGATGCCTCTACCTGTACCAGGGCCAGCCACAGGCTGAGGCCGGAGCAGCCCCTACCCACGGCATAACCCTTCATATCCCGCCATGGCTTCCTGAGAACAGGCCTGGAGCAGCATCGAGGACGAACACTTTATAAACAACTGTGCAGGCCTCTCCCTGCCAGAAGCACCTGGAGCCCTGCAGAGGCAGTGGGTGCTGGCTGCTGTTCCCTACAGCACAGGTAAACAGCTGGCTCCTGCTCCACAGCTCCCCTGCAGGATAACTTCACCCCCTGGGGAAGTCTCAGACAAAAACCTCCTGAAAGTACAAGAACATTAAGGGGAAGGAAAAGAAAAAAAAAAAAAGGACTCCGCCCCCATGCAGCAGTTTCATTCTTTCAGTTTATTTCTGCCTTGTTTAAAGTACCGTACAAAAATGATCCGACAGTAACAAATTCGGGGTTTACTTTAGTAAACGTCCACAGAAAGAGCACAGAGAACAACTTCTGCTAACAGGCAGAAGACATGGCAATTAGAGTATTTATTATTGCATCTCCAGGAGCAAAAACCTCAGGAGCGCTGCCCGGTCAAGTCCCTCCCGGATGAATGCAATTCCCGCCTCTTAGGCAGGGACCAGGCTCCAGGCTCGAACACGCTCCCTTTCCTCCGATGGGGAAATCGCCCCGACTAATGCAGCCCAGAGCTTCCCACAGAACCTCAGCATCTTGCATGGGGGGGGGGTCTCGACCAGGGACTCCCTGGCTGCCCCCACAACCAAGCAGTGACTCCAGGCGTTTGGCATGGGTGTTTCGGCAGCTCTCCACCCTAATGCCAGGGGAAGAGCTGCCCTTTCTTCCCTAACCAATATCGCTGGCAGCAGTTACTGAGCTCATAGTCTGCAAGAGCCCAATGGGTGGAGCAGAGAAACTAGAAAGGGCCCAGCAAAGGATGCAGCCAAGAACTGGAAACTTGGTCTCCAAAGTCCCATTTCAAGTGGGGATGTTAAATAGTCAGTTAACCTCCTTCATTCCTATAGGTTACTGGACTATTCGATCGTCCCTGGAGGTGGGGCTGGAAGCCAGCGTGCTCCGACCTCACTCCCGAGCTTCCTGCCACCCCGTACTGCCGGGCAAAAGCTGGTTCGTGATGGGAGCCAGTTCAAAAACCAGTTCCCCCTCCGGGATCAGCTCCTTGTCACCCACTGCAGAAGCAGCCCGTCTGGGTGACCTGAGCTCCTGGACCAAGTGAGAGCCAGGCTGCTAAGAAATGTACTGGCCGGGAGAGGGGGGAAATGCGTGTCTATAACATTAACTCATGAGCTTTTACTTATCGGTTAATTGACTGCGCTATTACAGCCCTCATTTCAAGGAGATTCGGCCAATTTCTTCCACCCAATTTCTTGGCAGCCACGACGGAAGGGGAAAGCTGGCTGGGTGCTCTTGGAGCCAGGCAGCGCGGAGCCCTGCAAAGCAGAGCGAGCTGACTGGATACGTGCCAGGTGGGGGAAACACACACGCAGGACGGGCCCAGGATCACAGGAGGTTCTGGTTCACATCTTGTAGGAGGTGCAGACGAGGGCACAGCCGACAGGGTCCAGCCAGAGCGTCCTCAGGAGACGTCAACAGCAGCGGCGAAAGCAAAGACCAAATCACAAGGGGCGTATTCCAAAGGAGCCGCGTTGTTAAAAAAAGACTTGAGGGGCTTGTTTTTGCGCAGGAGTGAGAGAAAACCCCACACTGAAGAACCAAGTCAGGTGGCCTTCCTTATGGGGCAGCTGGTGCTTGTCCTAGTGACACCCCAGGTGGGCAGGGCTCAAACCCAGAACCCCTAGGGTCCCCGGGCCAATGCCCTAACCCTTAGGCCACTTGAGAACCCACCCCCCTTTTGGAGCCAGAAGTTGAGGGTTCGAGCCCCACTCTGAACCAACATGGACCTGGCAACCTTGCAGCATAGGACAGCTAAGGGAGGCCCAGGATGTAGGAAGGCGGGGGGGCGGCTCCTTGCTGCACACTGCACTGCAGGAGAGCGGCGTCTGCTGTCTGCAACAGGCACAGGGATGCGAGCCCCTCAACACGCGTCTCCACCCTTAGCAAACCATGCCAGCCACTCAAAGGGCAGCGCGACCGGAAGCAGAGCCGTGCAGAACTCCCGCTCAGAGCCTTCACACGGCGCCGGCTGGGCGCCCGGGGTGCAAGAGGGGAATTTCAAACTCCCCTGAGAAGCAGGGAGAGGCACGTGCCCACCCGAGATCGCAGCAGGGGCCCAGCAGCGGCTGAGTTACCCGGGCCGCTTCCAAACACGGGACAAGACCTTTCCGCTCCCGTGGGCACCGCGTGGCTGAGGAGCAAGGGGTGGAAACCCGGCTCCCTGGCGGTGAGATGAACATCGCGTATGTACCGCCTGCCCTGCCACGCGACCCAGATCGCTGACCTCCATAATCCCACCGCCAGGCAGTGCTCAGCCAGGCGCCGAAAGCCAAACGGCCAGGCTGAGGGGTGGGGAAGGCAGGGCCCAAGCGGCGAGGAAGAAATGGCTAGATACAAATACCAAAAGTACAGCAGAGGAGTCAATCTTTATGGCTTAATTGCTCAAAAAGCAGGTCACCTTAGGGGGAGGGCAGCTCGAGTTGGGGGTCTCACGTGCGTTGCTGGGACACTGACTCCAGCCAGTGGAAAGCTGGAGCTGTGCCTGGTTCCCCGCAGGGAATTCTGCGAATAACTCCTGGGACAGAGGGCTGAGAAGCTGCACGGCCTCCCCACGCCTCTTACTTACCAACAGCCCGGCCACGAACTCGCCCTTTGTTACCCAATCGAACCCTCAGGACCCCCGTGCGCGAAGGGGGCTTGAAGGAGCAGCAGCCACTGTAGCTAACTCCTCTCCTGGCCCCACACGTGGCTCACTCTGGCCAGCACGTGGCTGGGCCCAGCGCCGTGCCCTCCAGCTGCTTTGCTCTGGCCGCCCTCGCTCGCTGACCCTGAGGGCTCCCACTGGAGCATGACAGGTGAGCACAGAATGCCCCTGCTCACACTGCCACGTGTGGGGCCACGCCAGCCCCCTATGCCACGGGCCCCCGTGGCAGCCACGGCGTTTCCAGAGGAACAAGAGAGGAATCCAGGCCAGAGCAGCAGAGCTGAAGATGCACACGTAGGAAGGAAGCGGGGAGCAGTGTGACCCTGGCACTAAACAGCATCCAAACCTGTGCCATTGCCCGGCCTCGCCCACACACGGGGAAAGACACACTCCACCCCAGCGTGCTCCCTACACAGTCAGCCGAGAGCCTCCCCACCCCGCAGTCCTAACTCTGCCACTACCACCGGAGACCAAGCGTCCGCCTCCAGCTGGGACGGACCGGGGGGTCTCTGGAGATGGATCAAGCGGTGAGCAGCACCTCCCCGGAGCCAGGCAGGCGCAGCAACAAGCGGAGAGCCCCTTGGGATCCCGAGCATCACCCCGCAGCGCTCCGGGCACCGCCAGCCACGCTGGATAGCCGGGTGCTGCCGCCGCCAGCAGCTGCCTGACACATCTGGAGGGAGATGTCCCACAGCCCCACACAGGAAGCGTCCCGAACCATTTTGTATCATCAGGAAACCCCTAGAGCTTTTTTTACTCGCTCGTGGTAAACCAGCCACGGCCGGAACGGGGACAGAAATCCCCAGCTCCTCTCCGGCCCCGGACAGGACTCAGCCTTAGAAGTGCTTCAGAAACAGGTCGCTTTGCCTCCCTAGACGCGGCTCCATGCCCCGGCCCCAGGGCTGGAGGGGCCTGGCCTAGTCGCCGCCCTCCCCTTGCAGAGGGGGGCTCCATTTGCATAAAGCTGGCAGGGGGTCGGCCATTCCGGGCCCCCCTCCTGCTCCACACTGTGCATGGCTGCCTGGGGGGGGCTGCGTATCGGAGCAAGGGTTCTGCAGACCATCGGGTACTAGCAAGCAGCTGGTTACAACGATCACGAGCGGTACGTGCCGGCGAGCCGGAACCGTTGCAGACTCCCCAAAGCAATGGCCGAACAGCTGCCATCCCCCTCCCCACCCCGACCTCTTCAGCGGCCCAGGAAAGCCCCGGTACCAACGCGGGTTTCACAGCTTCCCTGGCAGACAGGCTGGTCCGTAAGTAATTGACAGAGACTCCCCGGCCCGCCGTGCACAGGGGTTA